ATTTTTAACATAAAACGTAGCGAAATCAACAGCGATTTAAAAATAATCATAGCACGATTGTTCTTCTGAGTCTTACCTTTCATCCTCCATTTTTTCATATTCCATTCTCGCCAGTTCTTGCTGAACGAAAGATCTGGCAATTTCACAGCTCTTGCTTTCATGTCAAAAATGTTGTTACCGCCATATTCCCTGGTCGATCGAACGGTTAAACCCAAGACTGAGCATGCTCTGTGAGGCAAGATTGCCTCCATTTATGGGTTTCAATACCAGCTGTTTAGGGTCTTGGTGGGTTTCCCCAATAACGAAAGAGTTGTGAATAAAACACAACCAAAGACAAACATTCGTTTACAGAGTGATCATCTTAATTGAATTTGATGCACTGTTTCGCTTTCGAAAATTCAATAAAGGATTGGCAGAAAGACAGTGGAAAGAGACAATCGCTTTGTTTGAATTTCAAATATTCATGCAATGATTTTTAAAAAAGAAACTCTTTCATTTAAACAATAATAAAGTTGCGATTTTCAAAGTTTATTCCGGAAAGCGCGCGTCTGCAGATGGCGGCAGAATTTCCGCAATTTGAAAATACTCCCCGCGTTAAATAGAGCTCACGGAATTTGCTCCGATCTGTGAAATCTGAAATGAATACTTAAATTTTTTTTACTATAATTACATGAGTAGATTTCGAGTTGTTCTTCCAGGATCACGTCTTAAGTTCTCCATACTAAAAAATGAAGAATACCTTCCGCTAATCTTCTCTTCTTATAAAGAAATGTCTTGTAATTAAATTTGCACCCGCACTTGGACATATTTTGTGGATGCGGTAAATTGCAATTCAGTCACAGGATGATTTAGAAATGTGTTAAATTTCAGTATTCCTCTTATCACGAAAGTCAGATCAGGATTTTGTTGCTGTAATGATGATCCTGGAAATTATCATGATTTTATTGGACACTGCTTTGATCCCATTTTTAATGTAAAATTAACAAAAAGACTACAGTCATTAAAGGAAATAGCTTTTAAAATGTGTCTTGTTTGTTTTTTTCCCTGTTATGTTAAAAATTATACAGAAAATAGATCAAAAAACCCATTACAAATCGCAGGGAAGATTCTGACCTGAATTTTACATGTTAGTTTCTAAAAAAACGTAAAACTTTGAACTGGTAGTATTGCAATCAAAACCTTAAAGGCTGGCTTAAAAACAATTAAAAAATTCCAGCAGACAAATGTGACAGCTAACACGTATGTTGCAAATGATTCCACCCAATAGTTGAAAGATGTACAGCCAATTAAAACAACAGATCAGTGCAAACTGGTCAAGTTAACTGCTGCATGCGCAAGCGATGCTCTGGACGGTCTCATTAAAGCACATCTGAATTTAATTCCCAATAATTGAGCATTCGATTTGGTGGATAAATTTTTTACGGCGACTTTTTGAAGCACTTTTTTGAACACTAATCTAAACAGAGGAATAATGAAAAAAAAATGGAAATTTTCAAATTGTAGAGTGAAGCTTTCCGGGGTGCTTATTTTTGGAGAATGGGGGAGAATTTCGTTCTCCGATTTTTAAGCTCTATTCATGTACGCGGGTCTGAAAAATCCATTCGATCCAGTCTCCCCGCGGCCAGATTACGCCTGCCACAAAAGATACTTTCCTCCATGATGAATGAGTCCACAACTTTCCGTTACTCATTTAGTTTAAGTCTGAGACCTTGGTCAGTGATGAGCAAGGACTTTGTACTGATTCTTTGTTACCTATCTTTGCTTGTGTCTTTGACTGTGGTTGTTTTGTTACCGAGGCAAGTGAAGCAGTCATTATTTTCCTTATCGGATCAAACATTGGTTTGAGATGAAGACAAAAACAGCACGCCGATGCCTTTGTTGTGTTGCGTTCTGACAGTGTTGTCTTACTGTGGTCAGTTATGCTTGGTTTGCGTTAATACTACAGGTCAAGTTGAAACATTAGAGTTTACTGAGTTATGGTCAGTTATAGTATAGCAACTCGGCGTAGAGTCGAATTAAAAGACGACATGCGTTTCTTCGAAATTTCACAAACTCGATCTGATCTGATCCTTCGTAGATTCCGCAATGAACTTCTAATGTCTCAACGTGACTTTAGATTCACGTTATATTTGTGTTTTTGTGTGTCTATATGTTTTGTTATGCTTTAAGTATCATGAATCGGTAGGTGTCTAAGTTTTGCTCTCAAAGCACGTGCTTTTCACCAGTTAATGATGATAAACACTGCGCAAATCTGAGACAAGTAAAAGCCTTAGGACTTTACCACTTGGTAAATTGCCTCTGATGGCTTTACGCTGTCTAGGATAACAGATCGAGGGACCTGAAACTGGTGTAGCATGTTGCACAACCTTTCCTACGCTAACTATATCATTTTGGAGTGTAAGCAACAATGACGGAGACTGACTACAAAAACATCACTTCAAAAGTGAATTTGCACTGCTTCAAACTTTGTGCTGATATCTTTTTCAATTTGTCAAATACTGGCAAATTTTTCTGGAGTTGAATTCTAATTGACTAAATGAAAGTTCAGGAAAAGAAAAAAAAGAAAGTCTTCACGTCCTAGCTCGGAAATAGTCTTTAAAATTCAAAATGAATATTGGGGAAACTGGTAAATAAATTAAACCATCAAAAGACAAACGTACTTTATTACAAACTTTGTATAGTTATACAAGTGTAGGATATTAATTTTACCTCTACCATGAAATAATTTGAATCAAATGTTTCAAAATAGATCTTTTGGGAACCTGTCCAGTTTTAATATAATATTTGTACAATGTCATTATAGTTTGAATCTGTTTAATAATTTACTTTGCGTATGAAAAAATGAACAGTAAAATCTTCATAGCAAGGTGTGGTTTGCATTAGCAACATAGCAACACAATAACTTAGTCACAGGAATGTACAAATCAAGGATTTTGTTTGTGATGCGTAAGTCATTAATTTATTGTGCTGCTTTATACATTGTGAGCATGGGTGAAATGTACACAATGCTGTGTGTTGGTTGTATTTTGCATTTGCATGTCCTTGCCTTGTTGCTAATGATACTGATGTAAATGATGTTTAATGATAGGATCAATAATTCAATAACTCCATAAGCTCAAAACACCCATATAAATATATGACAATTAAAATCATATTTACAGTTTAACAATAAATTGAACTTTTTAAGCGAAAATAATAATACTTAGGGAAGTATTATTAAGTAAGTACAAGACTATTATTGTAAAAATTGATTGTAAAATGATGTCAGTAGTGGCAAAGAGAATGTTCTTACGAGAATATGGATGTACTTCATAAAATAATAAGTCATTGATTCTAAGTTATCAATAAAAGCATCATAAAATATGTGTCATCTCAAGCAAGCTCCAATCAAAATTTTGACAAGTGAAAATACCAAACTTAGCAAAATAAATATATCATGTACCTGTATTTCCCATGTAAACTGTTAGCGTACCCTTAGGATTTTTGTGCGGGCAATCATATTATGAGTGAACAAGGAACCAAAGGAAAATGGGGAGAAAACACAAATTCCCCATTTCCTGTTCTGGTCACTCACTTTCATAAGTCTTGAGTGACAGCTCTCCCTCTTAACTGATTAAAAAAAAAAGAATTGTTAACAGTTTATTCTTGAGGAATACAGTGGATACTGAACTGTAAACATTCCGATTGGTTGTTCTTTGCCTAAACCTTAAATCCCTAACAGTAACCAACCTTTAATGAAAATCATCAACGTATGAAAAAGGTCTTGATTGTTAAACAAATTCATCTCATCAGCACCAAAAGAAATGTATGAATAGTTTGGAGAATATACATGCTAATACTAGCGCTAAGGGTTTAAACGCTTAATATTCTTTCTCCTATTGACACAGTAGTTATGCTGTATCTGCTTACAAATAGGCTATAGTTCTTCTAGACGTATGCTAACTATTTACACACTTAATTTCCTGCAACATCTTATAGAAAAGTGTTAACAACCTTAAAATATAAAATATATGGTAAAAATAGAAAAAACTAAAACACTTAATGAAGAAACAATGTGAAAAACAACTAAACTGATAGTGTTCCTCCATATCATTCCAAATGACCATCACTATTTTGATGCAGCACAAGTTTCTTTTCTTTTTTATGAAATATTTTCTACCACTGAGAAGAGCATAAATTTTTTGAAGGAGTCTGACAAATTTGTTTGCTTATGACACAACAAGCTCCTTTGTTTTGGGGAACATTTGGATTCCTAGAGTTCTCATAATTATGAAGTTATCAGACTAACTGCATTTACCTGGCTAGTAGTCCAAGAGTTTCATGAAAGGGTGACCCTGCATCATCATGCAGCAACCAGTCTGGGTACATTCTGTTAAATGGCGTTTTCAGTCTAGGGCCCTGGGAGAGGACTCCCTCACAAAAGGGCAGGCACTTATAGGAAAATTAGAATTAAACTTCAAAACAAGACCATCTGGGCATGGCTCAATCTTAATTTGATCCATAATGATACCCATCTAAAACGGACAAGCACTATTAAAAAAAAAACATGTAAACCTTTTTTGATTTAAAATTGCTTTTACAAAGTTGTCATTGAATATTCTCCTGCTCTGGTTTCATAACTTCACCATAAACAGCCCTATATGATGACTAATAAGGCCACTCCAAACACACTACAGTGTAAGTGAGTCAACCAAAGTCTGCAATTTACACCCTTACATCAAATAGAGGATATTACATGGCCATGCAAAGATAAAACATAATATTTCTCTTTGAGTGGTGAATAATATTTCACCACAAGAAGAGAAATCTCGTATCTCCAAGTGACCATGTAATGTTCTGTTTATTATATAAGCACCAATGAAACACCAAACCATTTCACGTTAATAGCTTTTTGCTGTGAAAGGCACGATTTATTATGTAGCCATAGCAATGGTGATCTTTTCACATGTGATGAAAACATGTTATTTTCATGTGTGAAGATATCATGTTTTCGCATGAAAGCTCAACTGCTATTTCATTGGTGTTTATATCATAAAAGGCAAGTATCCTGCCCCTTTAAGTAGGGAGTAGCCCCACCGGTCTAGGGCTATGATTTATCAAGAATCCTCTTCCAGTGTTAGAGATAACTTTTCTCTCTTATCACAATGAAGATGAATGAAGAAATCCTTCTAAGATGAGGAAGCTTGATCTCTAGTAGAATCTGAAGTCATATCCTAGAGAACTGTACTGACTTCTTCCTGTGTTTTCCCATCGGCTAGCACTCCATTGCCAATCTGAATACCCACTATCACTGCTGTTTTGATAGGAGGGTAAAGCAATCTTTGATGCATACCCCCCTGAAACCGACCTGGGAACCTTTGCTGGTGGGAAAGCCACAGGGGGAGACAGTGGTCGTGAACCATAGGTAAGCTTTGATGAGAGAGGTCTTGGTGGCCAGGACACCCTGTAAGAAAATTTTAAACAAATGATGATCTATAGTTATATTAAAATATGAAAGTTATAGGAACCCACCCTACGGACAACCATGTATAATGTCCACAGTTTTGTTTGTCCGATGAAAAGCTCATATGTTTTCTCTAAAATTTACCCACTTAATATGCCTACTTATCAGAAAATTTGGATAAGTGAATCTCTCAGCTAATCAAAGGTCACTTGGGGCTGTTTTCTGTGCACCCCTGGCCTTTATTTCCTCACCCAAATGGCTGTTGGGTATTAACAATAAGATTGTCACTTGGGTCTAAAAATTACATACCTTTTGAAGTTTGGCTCATAAGAGTATGGGTCTGTGTGATGATGAGTGTGGTTATTTCTCCACAGTACAGGCTCCTTTGAAGGCCTCCAGTAGAGAGCCTTCCATTCTACATAACTCATGGGATGAGTTTGAGAGAACTTCCAGCCACTGTCATACAAAGGGGAACTTGGCTTCCTCCAAGGATGAGAAAATGGATACTTCCCTGTAAAAACAAATAAAGGTATTAATGGTGGTCATTGCTTTGTCACAGATGGAACTAAACTTCTGGTTAGATCTGTCTGTGAAAAAAAATCCTTTTCCTGGGCCCCCAGCTGTGTACCAGGATTTGAGTACGTGCCATGATTGGCCTGTTGAAGATGCACTTGTCTATTTGCCAATCAGGTTGAAGGGAAACTTAAAACGCACTTCTGGTAGTTCATTGAGTCTGTTGGGGGCTCAAACCTGAGATATCAGTGCTGCTTCGCAGATATTACTAACTAAAGTTAGATTACATCTGCAATGTAGGCTAGGGTGGTCATCAAAGTGTACAAGAAAGGAGGATTATGATGACCCATTCTTTAATAATCTGAACAGAAAGATGCTATATGAAACAGAAGCTTCTAAACCTTTCAACAAAAAAGAGCTGAATAAATAATCGCCTTATGTCAATTTTTCTATTCTAGCCAGAATTGCCTGAATTTTTGTATGTGACCTTTGATGCAGTAGAAAAACATTGCCCTGTATTTTTTTCGCTATTTTCTCCTAATTTTTCAAGAAATAACAGATGCAAAACATCATGTCGGCGTTCTTTAGTTCGAAAAAGAGACAAAGATTGGACGAGTTCTTTGTTTCGCATTAAGATTAAAGAATGATGAATTCATCTATAAATACAAACTGTAGCCAATGCAAAATGAAACAGGAATAAACACTGTACCTTCTGCACTTCCATGAGGTTTTCTTTGCCAAGTTATATCTTCCATAGTAGGGGACAATTTCCTTCCAAAATAGTGATGACGACGAGATGCCATTTCACCACCACTCCTTCCAAGTCCTGATTCCTCAAAATACATAGCATCAGCAAAGTCATGCCGATGAGAGCTACTAAGTGATTTGTAACCATAGTGACTGTGATGATTTGAATGGTTTCTATAGTCTGTGGATGCAGAAGTTTGTGGAACTAAAGGCGTTGACATGCGGACTGGTTCCCATGCAGATGGTGCATTTAAACTCAAATCTGAGAGTGACAGACTCTGTGGATCAAAGGAGTAGCCCCTTTTGCCTATTGGTGGTGAATATCTATTGGCTCTTCTTAGTGCAGCTTTTGCACGCATCATGATCACATCCTCGTCAAGTTCATTGAGGTGACTATATTTATGGCTTTCTGTTGTACTGTAGTCTCTCATTTGCCAGCTTCTTTGGCTGGAAGTGGATGGTGCATGATAACTATTGAGTGTATCTATTTTTGATCTTAAATATCCATTTCTATAGTGTGTGTTATTACTGTGCTCATCACTGATGTGTGAGTCATTATCTTCCATCTTTACATCTGCTTTCTTTGTAGAAGTAGGATGATCAAATTTTTCTTCTTTCCTTTTGTCATCAGAAGCTCTTTCAATTTTTTCAGAATCTGATTTTACCCTTGGAGTTAACTCTACAAACTCCATTCCAGGAGAATCTGCACTTTGATTAGCATTGCTTTCATTGGTTGAGTCTAAATCATCAGCTAAGTCTTCCATAGTGATCTTCGGTGGCATTTCATCATCATCATAATCATCATCATCACCATCATCACCCTTGTCATTGTCATCATCATAATCAGCCTCTTGTTCCCCTTTTTCATCTCTGTTATCATCCTTCACAGACAGGGATGATACTTCAAGTGGACCTCCATCATCAAGGGAGTTATTAACATTGTCTTCTGTACCAGGAAAAGAAAGTATGAATTTTAATCATTCATAAGTTCTCAGAGACTAGCAACCATATAGCTGTAGTCGACTCCCGATAACTTGAACCTTCGCTAACTCAAACGTCACGCTAACTCCAACCAAAGTCAATTTCTGCTGTATTTCCTCATGCATTTACTGTAATTTTACCCTTGGAATAAACTTGAACCTGCCGCTAACTTGAAGTAATTTTTGTTTCCCTTCAGAACATTTCTATATAACTCTACCCTCGGAAAAAAAAACAGTATACTGAAGTCCAAAACATTGAATATTTTGTATTTCAAAATAACCGTGTCTTCTTTGTCTTTACTTTTTTGTCACTCCAGCTCAAATTGAGTGTCCATACCTGTATATAATCAAGATTTGTTGCTAAATTCCTTTTTCAAAATATATATATATATCATTCAAAATATCGATATATATCTTGCTGCCCTTGAAGCGAAGCGTGTACGATAACTTCACTCCCTCCCCATCCATTTGCTTATTTCCAACCATTTGCTTCGAACCCCCGATAACTTGAATTTTTTCAATTTCCATAGAAGATTCAAGTTATCGGGAGTCGACAGTACACATACATACTTTATTGAAAGGTCAAAAGTTGGCAGCCAAAGGCTGATGTGGACCTTAAATGACAAATACATTAGAAACACAATTTACAATACTACATGGGTTACGATTAACACAATTTCTACAACTGAACACAAATAAAAGTTACAATACAACAGATGATTACAACTATATAAGTAATACTAAAATTATCATTATCCTCACAGCATCATAGGTTAAAAATTAAAAATTAATAATAAAAGAAATCATCTAAATTTATATTTAAATTTACACAAGTTCCCTTCATAAAACTAATTTGTTCCAGATTGCATTTCTTTACATGAAAGGCTACCTTAACTCTAGCTACATCATCTTGAGTCCTTGTTTCGTTATAGAGGCCATCCCAAAGGATTGGTCTTCTAAAAAAGAGAGATTGCAGCCTCCCAATTTCTGGGTTCACCCTTCTCACCCTCATTACCGATGATCTCCCGCTGGAGTTCACCAGGTCAATGTATGTTGCAGTATTGTCAATGGACCGTTGGTAACAACATTTGGAAATCTGAAGTTCACGTGTACACTAAATTTCGTCAAATCAAACTCGAAAGTGTAAATTACAGAATCAAAATTTCTACCTGCGGAATGTGGCGACTCGACTTTCAGACTTTCCGACATTTTAAATGCGCGATGTACTTAACCATGAGCCTCGTGAAACTGCTTTTAAAAATATTTCCTTGAAATATGCCCAGGTTTCTACGATGTTTTTAAAAGTCACTGAAAAGAAAGCAATTTCTCTTGAGGACGATTTGGAATGTTTGCAAAGAGAATAATATCAAGGACGCCATTTCAAATTTCAAAAGAGCCCTCACTCTGTGTGGAATTCAAGCGTGACATTGTTGTCTTTCCCAGACTCCCTTATTCACCAAGACACTATATGCTCATTACACAACACATAAATTGATTCCCGCGCACGCGATTCTCCACTGCTCCACGTGCTCCCAAACGATGCATGCACGCCAACATTTGGACCCAAAATTTTCTTTAAATTACGAAACTTACCGTTGTCGATGTCCATTTTCTGAACTCGACCAATGCTTGTTTCTTCAGGCCCTTTTATTGGAGACAGATCCGGCAGTGCGTCCCCAATAACTTCAATCCCAGAAGATTCAAGTACATTCACTGAGCACTCCATGGGACTAACACTGTGCCTGGATAAACGAGGACGTCTAACGGAGGTAGGTGTCTCTGGGACAGAAATTACTGGCTTGATAGGTGAGATATTCGGACTTGACATAGTACTGGTAGTCGAGTGTCTGTGTTTGGTGTGCTTTAGTGTGGACTGTTCAGACACCGGGCTTGACGTTATCTAAAGTAAAGTTCAAACCGGAAGTTAAAAGTCAGAAAGTTGATTTCTTCTTTTAATCGAAGGAAATCGTCATCTAATATTTAAATAAGTAAGTGATTAAGTTAACTAGAGTACTCTTCTCTGTAAAGTAAAAATATTATATCAGGTTTTAAACTCACCAAAATAGGACTTTTGGGACTTTTGAGGATGGATCTGAAAAAGAGAAGAGTTTTACACGTTGACTTAAAATAATTAGGATTAATTTTCTACTCTTGCCATTACAAATATGTCTCAAGAGTGCTTATACCCCTCGCTAAGCATGTTTAGTCATTTTTCATTTTTTCTTCGGAAAACCGTAAATGGATGGGAAAGGGAGGAAAGGAAATGCTTGACCCCTTCTCCTTCAGAAGAAAAACTGACCTCCTGACTGCAGGTTAGTACTGCCAAAAAATTTACCACAAAACATGGCAAAAAAGAAAAAAAATGAAGACGGGAGGGATGGGTACGCTTGGAATTGACTGGGCCATTGGCTAACTTGGTTTAAGGAGGGGGGTGTAAGGGGGATCTGAAAACAGCAAAATGAAGAAGAAAAAGGAAGAAACTGCACGAAAAACGTCAAAAGCTGAATGCGGCAACCAAAATTACCAAAATTTTCTAAAATCTGCTAACTGCTTGGTCTTGTAAAACCACAATTTTACAAGGGTCGCTTGAAAGAAATTAGCCTGCATAATGAGCGTTTCCATTCAGTTTTGGAGTGAAGAACAAAGAATGAGAAAAATGGCATGAGTAAAAGAGCAGGGAGGGGTTGGAGAAGAAAGGTGAGGTAGGGTTTCGTTCCTTCCCCTCCCCACTCTTTCATTTTTTGGCTCTTGTTTCAATTCTCATGCGGCCAAAACAGAAAATCCCGTTCCTCGGTCTTGTTTTGCTCCGAAACCAAACGGAAATGCTTGCTACACAGGCTAGAAGGTAGAAGGAAATTGGAATTCCAAGTAGGGTCAGAACTTTGCAAACGCCTGCACTGCTTGGAACACCCACCATATTGAGAAAGGTCCTTTAAGTCTAAGGTCTCGGGACAGGACCAGACTAAAAGTAGAAAAATATGTCGTTGTTTTCAGGACAAAGAACACCTGTGCAAATTATCAATCATAATTAACAATAATAATGCAAGCTGCATCACTGCAAACCCTTTTGTTCCCTCTACAAGCCAATAAAAACTTGTATGCAGTAGTAAGGTGTCATAGTTACTTGATGTTAGGTGATGGTTCCAGCTGAGCTTTTTCTGTTTGATTTAAAGTTCCTGCTTGAGAAAACAACTTTCTTCTTAGTGAAGACATTGACATATCTTTACTACCATTAAGGCCATCTTGGTTATAATACGTAGGATCTGAAATGCATGAAAGATAATATTATTTTAAAACATTTCGGTTCCTGACAATCTCAAATTGATGAATCCCTAGTTGATGAAAAACTACCCATACACATTTTATTGATCAAAGTTAAACTTCATGGTGTCCTTACTCAATTCATGAATAATTTGGGTTGGGAGACAAAGGAATAATTGAGAATCAACCTAAATTTAAAAATTTTAACTCAACTTTATTTATTATTTTGACCTACAACACTTTCAAGTATGGAAAATCTTAAGCAAAGGTGGCCAGTCTGATTTATGATAATTGTCAGATTTGTTATTTTAGATATCTCAGTGACTCAGTTAGTAATATATTTTATTTTGATACAGAATTGTACCAAACAGACTGTCTTTAATATCTTGCTTTAAGCAGTGTCTATAGCAAGTGAAGGATGCTTTCTTTTGTTAGTTTTAACTTGAAAATTTGTCAAGATCGCAGCGTACTTACCAATATGACTTTGCAGATCAAAGTCTGGTGGTAGAGATAGCTTTGTTTGGCTACTTGCTTAAAAGGGAAAATACAAAGAAGAGGTTTAAATATGAACTACGTAGTAAGTGTTTGCTAAATTATGCAATTCAGTCTGCCATTATGATAGCGTTTTTGACAACTCTTTCTTTTCATTTCTTTTTGTGTATGTACATGACAGTAAAATTTGTTTTGAAGCAAATTATCACTGACATTTCTTATGACTGTAATGTCATGATCATCAAATTAATCTTGGCAACAGTCAGAAAACAGTTCAAAAAAGTGAATGGCCAAGTTTGTTTTCAAGTTACCGAACATGTGATGTTAGAAAACTGTTTCTTTCAAACATCAGCATAATCATGGGAATATGAAACAGAGTCACATAATTTTACTGTGAAAGAGAGATGTCAAATTCCCCCAACAATGTCATGTGATCTTGAAATATAACCAAAAAAATATAATCAAAATGAAAAAGACTGTAACGTTGAGAGAAAAGGTTGGATGGGGGTATGGCAATTAGGTTTTGCCTTCTCCTGTTGGCTGTAATTTTGACTCAAAAAGGATATTTGAGAAAATCAGTTGTCTTACCATCTACTTTAACTTTGCAGCTTGATGAGTTAGGAGATGAATATGAAGACTCAGCAGAACTTATGGCTTCAATATCTATCAGAGTAAAGTGAAAGATATAGCGATAGGCTTCAACTGTATTAATTTTATATTATTAAACAACGTGAAAACATACATAGTGAATAACAAGGTGATACGAATTTTTTTTACATTCAGTAGAGTTGCTGGACCTATACCTTAAGTGTCAGGTTTTTTTTTTCATAATTACTGATAGTTCACAGCAAAGTCACGACAGCAAGGTACGAAGCTTTTTCAAGCCATGCACACAGGTTATTTTATCCTCTAGGCATTTCGAGAACAGAACCCTGGAGACAGGGTGCTGGACCTACATACATTTAATCTACTGAGAAAAACTGCAACTTACCTTTGTTATATTTCTTATAACTGGTATAATGTAATAAAAAAAAGACAACATTGAAGCAACAAGACTCGAAATAAAATGGTGAGCAAAAACATTGTTTGTCTAGAGTCACAAACAACAACAACTTGGTTCTAGTTATGCATGGATGTCTCATGTTATGATGTAGGGCTGTTCATTGGATCATACTTACAGGCAGTAGATGGCGGCAGTGGGGAAAATTTAACATGTTTTGCAGCATGGTTTGGTGTCCATGGAGATGGGACGATGGAGCTTTGAGAAAAATACTGAAACATAAAACATGAAAAAGACAAGTTGGCAAGAAATTTAAATTATGACATAGCTTGCATAGCAGACGCTTGAAAGTTATATTGGTGCAACAAAGAACAGGAAATGCAAGGGAGAAGCAAGCTTGCAGGTCTTCCTTGTGTGCCCCCTTCTTTCTTACACTCTTTTTACTTCATGTGCCAGCTATGCTGGCTACCCCAGTAATGTTGACACTGCTTGGACTTGCCAGTGGTTAGTCAGGCTTCTAATGTGTGTTCTCAACCCTCCAAGTTCTGACCATTTTAGACGCAATGGTACCTAAAATTTTGAAGCTGGCAACTTGATAAATTTTTGTAAAAAAGTCTCCCTAAACCAAAAGAATTGGTCGCCAAATGGCAACCAAGCAAAAACTTTGACTTGGAGGCTTGGTTCTTAAGTTCAACAGACTGGTGATCAAACTGGGAAATGTCATTGGGACAGAAGGGAAGCAAAGATTCAGGGAAGAAATTGGGGTGTCAAAGGATGATAACTTCAGACTGGTGAACAAATATGTTGAAGAGATGGATAATTCCCAGCGTAGATCAGGAAGCATGAAGTTATTTCATGCTGGTGGAACTACAGAGGAATCTTGATTTCTAAAACCCTTGCCAGTTGGCTTCTCGAAGGTCCTGATATTTTTAACCAAAAATGCTCTCTCTTAATCAGTGAGTCAAACAGCGTATGTCTTTGTACTCCAAATTTGTTGAACCTCCAGATTATTCAGAATAGTTCCCTTTTCTCCAGGAGGTTTAAAAGATGTGGACTCCACTGCACTGTGTGAATGTTAAAAGGTTTTTGTTGTAAATCTTTTTTTCACCTACCTCATCTACAGCTCTTTGTGCTTCAATTTCATCCTCTTCCCTAAATGAGATTCATTCAAAATCAGGAAATTATATAAACTATCTCTCATCAAAATATTCCATTAGCTGCTTTAACAACACTGATCCATTGTGACCACTTGGGAAACAAAACTAATGGACTCCCCCTCCCAGGGCAAGTGTCCCAATATACTGTTGCAGGGTGGTCACTAAGATTTCAAGTTGCTGGGTAAATACAACAAGTACCAGTAGGCAGGGAATCAAACAGCTCGGGATTTCTTTTGGTTCTCTTTTTCTTCCATTTTCCAATGAAAGTAGCTGGGGGCCACACTCATAGTAGCCAGGAAATCCCCAGCCCCCTGCTCTTAATGACAGTCCTACTGTTGTATCTTAATGCTAAGGTTCATTTCCAAGAAATAAATGCTACGCCTGGGAGGGAGGGGGCAGCACAGCCATATGCAGACTTTAAAGGTGTGTGCTACTCTCTAGGGTAGGGTTTTCAAGTTGTTGAGTCTAGGATAGGTAATGAAAACCAAATGGAATTTGGTAAAGAAAAAAGGGATCATTTGCAGTAAGCATTGAACATGGTCTGGTATAGGCCAAGGGTTCCAAAGTGCCAGCAGCACGCCCAGAGCAGCCATTGGTAGCTGACAGCTGGCCTTTTTAGCCTGCTACTGCAACATCAGCCAGCTTCTCTCAGTTTGAAAATTAGTCAAACATGACAAATACAGGTGGATTTGTTGGATATGACCAGCTACCTTCCCTGAGGACCTGATCTACTTAAAACCTTAAAGGTACACACTAGGCGACAAGTTGCAGCAACATGTTGCAGCAATGCATTGCAGCAAGAAGTCGCCTCGTGTACACTGGAGAATTTTTGTGAAAACTTTTTCTCTGCAAAAGAATTTTGTCGCCACAACAAGTTGCACAAATTCAGACTGATTTGATTTTCTGCGACTTGTTGCGGCAACAAAATTTTGTGGCAGAGACAAAGATTTTCAAAAAAAATTCTCTAGTACACACAAAATGATTTGTCGCTGTGATCACCGCAACGTGATGCTGCAACTAATTGCCTGACCTGTACACACACAGAGTGATCTGTCGCCCGACGTGTTGCTGCAACTTGTTTCGCTTAGTGTGTTCCAACCTTAATGACAGCCCTCTCAAAACGTAACATAACAGTTAATTAACATGAATTGATAGATAAACTCACAAGCCTTGAAAGAACCTTTGTTTGATTTTTACGCTGATCTATGGAAGAGCTAAAATGAGAGGTCCAAAAAAAATCAAGCCGGTCTTTCTTTCTTTTAATAATCCCGAGCTTTAATTGGCTCTTGAGAAAACTAATTTATAAGAACCAACCTTTCAAATGTACTGCTGTACTCTTGACATGGAAATTCATCAATATCAGCTGGATTCTAAAAAACGAGTATTGAAATAAATAGGCCGTAAACAAGCTGAAAGCTCTTGGACGAAACCAGGGAGTTCCAACTTTCCCAGGGGATCAGATAGAGTTACATGTAGACAATACAATGGAGATCGAGTGGCGGTAAATGGAGAGTGGAGAGAATCAGAGAGAATTGCTCCATCCCCACAATAGAACCCGCAAAACAGGCATCTGTTCGCTAGACGAAGAAGGCCGGGAAACTGATAGCCATGTAAACGCAGCGAGCTACAGCGAGAGGGCCGCCTTCAATATCGATCCTGTGCCAGCTCGCAAACAAATCGCACCGGGTTCCACTGCTTTCTCAGCCCGCGCGCTTTTTGTACGATCTTCTAGAAAAATGACCGTCAGTGAGATATAGGCTTAAAATTGGTTTGAAAGTCTAAAAGGATAAGAGGAATTAAAACTAAATGATAACAATAAGCTTACTGGTAAATACAAACCGCGGATCAGATCTGCAAATGATTGGATAGTGGACGGTAAGTGTATCAGTGGGCGAACTTACCAAACGGGAAATCTGATCTATTGACCATCTAAAAGATCTTGATTTCTATGAAGATTAAATAAACAAAATCGATGTAAGGTGAAAGAACGCGATGAGTAAATCTTAGTGATTCATCCCGCGGAATTCTAAATTTATACTCACCTTTTGACTTGCTGGGGTTTCTTGCTTACGGAACATGGAAGGACTGAAACCTGGACAGTTCACTCGTTCTTCTTGGTTACTGTCGAACGGATTTCGAGTAACTTCTAGAGAAGATAATGTACACATACTGTCTACCATTTTTATCTCACTGAAAACGAAATATTTTCAAGCATAAACACAAAAATTCTAAGCTAAATTTGACATTCCAATGGATCAGTAAAATTTGTTTTGAAGCAAATTATCACTGACATTTCTTATGACTGTAATGTCATGATCATCAAATTAATCTTGGCAACAGTCAGAAAACAGTTCAAAAAAGTGAATGGCCAAGTTTGTTTTCAAGTTTAAGAACATGTGATGTTTGAAAACTGTTTCTTTCAAACATCAGCATAATCATGGGAATATGAAACAGAGTCACATAATTTTACTGTCAAAGAGAGATGTCAAATTCCCCCAACAATGTCATGTGATCTCGAAATACAACAAAAAAATATAATGAAAATGAAAAGGACTGTAACGTTGAGAGAAAAGGTTGGATGGGGGTATGGCAATATTAGGTTTTGCCTTCTCCTGTTGGCTGTAATTTTGACTCAAAAAGCATATTTGAGAAAATCAGTTGTCTTACCATCTACTTTAACTTTGCAGCTTGATGAGTTAGGAGATGAATATGAAGACTCAGCAGAACTTATGGCTTCAATATCTATCAGAGTAAAGTGAAAGATAAAGCGATAGGCTTCAACTGTGTTAATTTTATATTATTAAACAATGTGAAAACGTACATAGTGAATAACAAGGTGATAAGAAATTTTTTCACATTCAGTAGTGGCAGGGTTTTTTTTTTTATAATTACTGATAGTTCACAGCAAGGCCACAACAGCGAGGTACGAAGCGCTGTCAAACCATACACACATGTTATTTCATCTTCTAGGCATTTCTAGAACAGAACCCTGGAGACAGGGTGCTGGACCTACATACATGTATTCAATCTACTGAGAAGTACTGCAACTTATCTTTGTTATATTTCTTATAACCAGTATATTGTGATAAAAAAAATACAACATTGAAGAGTCAAAATAAAATGGCGAGCAAAAACATTGTTTGTCTAGAGTTACAAACAACAACAACTTGGTTCTAGTTATGCATGGAATGAGTGGAATATGTCTCATGTGGGGCTGTTCATTGGATCATACTTACAGGCAGTAGATGGCGGCAGTGGGGAAAATTTAACATGTTTTGCAGCATGGTTTGGTGTCCATGGAGATGGGACAATGGAGCTTTGAGAAAAATACTGAAACATGAAACATGAAAAAGACAAGTTGGCAAGAAATTTAAATTATGACATAGCTTGCATAGCAGGCGCTTGAAAGTTATATGGGAGCAACAAAGAACAGGGCATGCAAGGGAGAAGCATGCAAGCTTGCAGGTCTTTTTCATGTGCCCCCTTTTTTCTTACACCCTTATTACTTCATGTGCCTGCTATGCCGGCTACCCTAGTAATGTTGACACTGGTTGGACTTGCCAGTGGTTTAGTCACACTTCTTATGTGTGTTCTCAACCCTCCAAGTTGTGACCATTTTAGTCACCATGGTGTCTAAAATTTTGAAGCTGGCGACTTGATTTGTAAAAAAGTCTCCCTATAAAACCAAAAGAATTGGTTGCCAAATGGCAACCAAGCAAACACTTTCACTTGGAGGGCTGGTTCTTAAGTTCAGCAGACTGGTGGTCAAACTGGGAATCATCATTGGGACAGAAGGGAAGCAAAGATTCAGGGAAAAAATGGGGGCAAAAAATTTTCACCCACTCTTAAACCTGCTGCTGGGTGTCAAAGGATGATCACTTCAGACTGGTGAACAAAATACTGAAGACCTTTCCTATGTTGAAGAGGTGGATGATTCCCAGGCTAGATCAGGAAGCATGAAGTTATTTCATGCTGGTGGAACTACAGTGGAATCTTGATTTCTAAAACCCTTGCCAGTTGGCTTCTCGAAGGTCCTGATAATTTTAACCAAAAATGCCCTCTCTTAATCAGTGAGTCAAACAGTGTATTTCTTTGTATTCCGAATTTGTTGAACCTCCAGATTATTCAGGCTAGTTCCCTTTTCTCCAGGAGGTTTAAAAGATGTGAACTCCACTGCACTGTGTGAATGTTACAAAGTTTTTGTTGTAAACCTACCTCATCTACTGCTCTTTGGGCTTCAATTTCATCCTCTTCCCTAAATGAGATTCATTCAAAATCAGGAAATAATATAAACTATCACTCATCAAAATATTTCATTAGCTGCCACTGATCCATTGTGACCACTTGGGAAACAAAACAAATGGACTCCCCCTCCCAGGGCAAGTGTCCCAATATACTGTTGCAGGGTGGTCACTAAGATTTCAAGTTGCTGGGTAAATACAACAAGCACCAGTAGGTGGGGAATCAAACAGCTGGGGATTTCTTTTGGTTCTATTTTTCTTCTATTTTCCAGTGAAAGTAGTTGGGGGCCACACTCATAGTAGCCGGGAAATCCCCAGCCCCCTGCTCTTAATGACAGCCCTACTGTTGTATCTTAATATCTTAATACTAAGGTTCATTTCCAAGAAATAAATGCTACGCCTGGGAGGGAGGGGGCAGCACAGCCATATGTAGACTTTAAAGGTGTGTGCTACTCTCTAGGGTAGGGTTTTCAAGTTTTTGAGTCTAGGATAGGTAATGAAAACCAAATGGAATTTGGTAAAGAAAAAGGGGTCATTTGCAGTAAGCATTGAACATGGCCTGGTATAGGCCAAGGGTTCCAAAGTGCCAGCAGCACACCCAGAGCAGCCATTGGTAGCTGACAGCTAGCCCTTTTAGCCTGCTACTGCAACATCAGCCAGCTTCTCTCAGTTTGAAAATTAGTCAAACATGACAAATATAGGTGGATTTGTTGGATATGACCAGCTACCTTCCCTGACGACCTGATCTACTTAAAACCTGAAAGGTACACACTAGGCGACAAGTTGCAGCAACATGGTGCGGCAATGCATTCCAGCAAGAAGACGCCTCGTGTACACTGGAGAATTTTTGTGAAAACTTTTTCTCTGCAAAAGAATTTTGTCGCCTCAACAAGTCGCACAAATTCAGACTGATTTGATTTCCTTCGACTTGTTGCGGCAACAAAATTTTGTGGCAGAGACAAAGATTTTCACAAAAAATTCTCTAGTACACACAAAATGATTTGTCGCTGTGATCACCGCAACGTGATGCTGCAATTAATTGCCTGACCTGTACACACACAGAGTGATCTGTCGCCTGACGTGTTGCTGCAACTTGTTTCGCTTCGTGTGTTCCAACCTTAATCACAGCCCTCTCAAAACGTAACATAACAGTTAATTAACATGAATTGACAGATAAACTCACAAGCCTTGAAAGAACCTTTTTTGATTTTTATGCTGATCTATGGAAGAGCTAAAATGAGAGGTCCAAAAAAAATCAAGCCGGCCTTTCTTTCTTTTAATAATCCCTAGCTTTAATTGGCTCTTGAGAAAACTAATTTATAAGAACCAACCTTTCAAATGTGCTGCTATACTCTTGACATGGAAATTCATCAATATCAGCTGGATTCTGAAAAACGAGTATTGAAATAAATAGGCCGTAAACAAATACGCTGAAAGCTCTTGGACGAAACCAGCGAGTTCCAACTTTCCCAAGGGATCAGATAGAGTTACATGTAGACAATACGGTGGAGATCGAGTGGCGGTAAATGGAGAGTGGAGAGAATCAGAGAGAATTGCTCCATCCCCACAATAGAACCCGCAAAACAGGCAGCTGTTCGCTAGACGAAGAAGGCCGGGAAACTGATAGCCATGTACACGCAGCGAGCTACAGCGAAAGGGCTGCCTTCAATATCAATCCTGTGCCAGCTCGTAATAATCGCGCTGGGTTCCACTGGTTTCTCAGCCCGCGCGCTATTTGTACGATCTTCTACAAAAATGACCGTCTGTGAGATATAGGCTTTAAATTGCTTTGAAAGTCTTAAAGGACAAGAGGAATTAAAACTAAATGATAACAATAAGCTTACTGGTAAATATAAACCGCGGATCGGATCTGCAAAGGATTGGATAGTGGACGGTAAACTGGAGTGTATCAGTGGGCGAACTTACCAAACGGGAAATCTGATCTATTGACCATCTAAAAGATCTTGATTTCTGTGAAGATTAAATAAAAAAAAATCGATGTAAGGTAAAAGAACGCGATGATTAAATCTTAGTGATTTATCCCGCGGAATTCTAAATTTATACTCACCTTTTGACTTGCGGGGGTTTCTTGCTTACGGAACATGGAAGGACTGAAACCTGGACAGTTCACTCGTTCTTCTTGGTTACTATCGAACGGATTTCGAGTAACTTCTAGAGAAGATAATGTACACATACTGTCTACCATTTTTATCTCACTGAAAACGAAATATTTTCAAGCATAAACACAAAAATTCTAAGCTAAATTTGACATTCCAATGGANTCGTTCTTCTTGGTTACTATCGAACGGATTTCGAGTAACTTCTAGAGAAGATAATGTACACATACTGTCTACCATTTTTATCTCACTGAAAACGAAATATTTTCAAGCATAAACACAAAAATTCTAAGCTAAATTTGACATTCCAATGGATGACCATCGATGAAACCTACTCAAAAATAAAGTTTGAATCTGGCGCATGAAAAGAACATTGCAAGTAGAGAGAATCTGAAAAGTGGTCAATATTCTTTTTCAATGAACAGTGTATAGAAACCGAAGGAAATTTTTCTTGCAAAACCAGCAAGGATGGCAGAACGATTTTTAGCTCATAACATTTTATTTTGATATGGAGTAATATCAAGTTATTTTAATGAATATTGGTGATCTGAGTTTACTCAAGGAAAAAAACCAGTGACCGCTCATCATTTTCTCCCTAGATTATTGAACGGTAACTCCGCTGCCCAAAGAAACTGCTCTCAACATTCCAAGATGGCGGACAACAGACCAAGAGTGACTTCAGCGCGGGAAGCAATAGAGGGTATGTATATTGCGTTTGAGGGTTTCGATCGTTTAGTTGGTAAACGTTTTAGTGTATGATATGGTCTAAACATCTTTCAGATGTATAATTTTCTAAAAAAAACTTTGGCTTAAGTTATGTTTCTTTAATTCTTTTACATGTATATTAAAACCTTACATTCTTTATAGTTTTCGAGTTCCCTCGTATGCTGATGATGCATATGTCATGAGAATTACTTTGGTAGGGGGCCAAGAGAAGGTAGAAGGTTCTGTCGCATTTTACAGCTGATTTTATTACATGCAAGGTTACTTTTGCAGAGATGCCAACCTCTAGAAATCTAAAATATGGGCTCACTCTTTTGCATTACCCCCCCCCCCCGAATATCAACACAACCAAACCCCCCATCCCTGACCCCGACCACCTGATGAGCACAATTCGATCGAGTCCCTAATTTATCACATGGGAAAGGCTTAGGACATTATATGAAGTCTTACATGAGCTAGAGACCATCAAAATTCACTTGTATGATTGTAATGGCAAAAAAATCTTTGTCACTGATGACGTACGTGCAAACATGCCCCAGAAACCAAACTATGAATAATAGAAAGTTGAATTTTTGGAGAAAATGGGACAAATGCCCAATTAAAGCGCAGAAAAGTTCATAACTCGATTTTATCCGGGAGATTTGGTGACCCATGTGCGAGACCGGGAGATTGATGTCATATCCAGGAGAGTTGGCTTATATACTTTTAGGGCACAATTTGAGCACTCTTACACTTCACACTGGGTGACCCTATGGGTTGCTTTAACTTTTATACAGCGCCATGAACCTATCATTGGCCACCCACTGATGGGGGGACCCCGGCCCGAACAAATACGACTTTGTATGGGGACTTATAGGGGGATTTTAAAGAGTTATTTATCCGTGAATTGGGGAAAATGAGCAAGGTTTGGTTCATAATAGGCTTGCATCACAAGAGAAAACCTTGGGCATTGTATATAGAATTCCATCGATTTCATGTTGTTCACTTTTCCAGAAGATTGGGGGCTTACCTCTCTCCCCATGGTGAAAATAATCTATGGCAGACTCAGCAGCTCATGTATCATTGTGTAAATTCATTTAAAGTACTATTTCCTCATCAGGTGAGCTGGGTCATTATAATGGCATCTCAAGTTTACTATGGTTTCATGTTGTTCAATATGATAGCCCTCTAGGAGGGGAATTTCTTAACTTTGATTGCTCTTTACCCCCATCAAGGTGGAAAAAATCTAATACTGTAAGCACTTTCACATAGTCCTTTGCAAAGTCCCCTCCCTTGGGTGGGGTCCCCTTGAGGGGATGGCCAATTTTAAGTGCAGGACACTGACTAGTACAGAGTTACAATATGTTTGGCTTAACTTTATCTTTTAGCACTGGTAGAGATTTCCAAGCTGCTAAATACTGGCCTTGACACTGAATCTTTAGCTGTTTGTGTTAAGCTGTGTGAAGCAGGTGTGAATCCTGAAGCTTTAGCATCTGTAGTACAAGAGCTTAGAAGAGAAGCTGGCGCTCTTCAGGTAATTATTGCACAACTGTCACCCCTCTCCTCACCCCCCTCCCCTTGGAGGGAAGAGGACACTTACCTGTAACTTAAGTTTGTCTAGGGTTGTACTCCCAGAGGAGAGATACCCATTTGAAAGAGATGAGGATGCTCATCCACACCTTTTTTTTTTGGGGGGGGGGAGGGGTGGGGGATGTATAATATTGCAAGTTTTGGTCTCATGTAGAGTGGGTGCGACATTCAATGTTAATTGGCGCACATGAAACTCCATCCCCCACCCCCAGTCCCTTTGGGAGAAGAGAGAATTTCGAATTAAAAATATTTTGTTAAGGGGTTGTACCCCAGGAAGGAGATACCCTGATGTGAAAGAGAAGGAAGTCCATCCCCACCTTTTTTTTTTGGGGGGGGGGAGGGGTGGGGGATGTATAATATTGCAAGTTTTGGTCTCATGAAAGGTGGTTAGAATGGAAAGCCAAGATTTTACTCATACAGGTGTCATCGGGGTAGTGCATTGGGATCGTTATATGTTTCTACGAAACTGCCCACCTACCCCTCCCCTTAAGCCAACGACCTAAGTGAGAAGCAAGTGTTAATGTTAGCTTAGGGGAGGGGTAGGTGGACAGTTTCTCCAGAAATGTAAAATGATCCGTATGACAACATTGATGTCAACATCTTTTCACTCAGTATTATTAAGATCATTATTAGCTCTTATTTTGTTTTTTCTTGTCTTATGGTCCCCTTTACATAGGGACCAAGCATTAAAAGCCTGAGCCACACCTAGATTGGTCGTCCTTAGGGGTTTCATGCTAAATTTTGGATGAGGGTGCCTCTGCTTTCATTTGAGAGGTTCAGGAGTGGTGTACTGTGTAGATTATGGAACCCATATCTGGAGTATGAAAAAAATTTCCCTCTTTTGCTACATTCATCATTGCTGTTGTTTCCACTTTGTATGTAGCCAATCATCAGCGATGTGATCCACATCATTCGTACTTAGGGTACTCATATGTGGAAATGCCCAAGTGGTTCAAGCTCCAGTTAGTTCTGTTCTTGAGATTACTGTGAACAAACTAAGCTTAGATATATGCTCATTGTCATATGTTATTTTTGTAAGATGTAGATATGTTTTGCCTTCAGAAAACAATGTGTAAAATACATGTACATCCTGGGCTGATTTAATAAAACTTTTACAAGTGTCATTTACAAATGCGCCCATTGTTTTAGTGTCTAAAAACAATAGCTGCACTTGTTAATTGCACTTGTTAAAGTTTTAATTATTTGAATTGACCCCTGGCCAAGTGACAAAATAATCATTGTCAAGCCACTAACTTTCTGATGTAATTACCAGTAATAGATTTTTTACCAGTCACGTTTTTACATATAATATTATTTCCTGTAATGACCATTTCAATTAAATAGAATATGTAGAGGAGCACATGTTTGGGAAGTGAAGTCAACCAGACTACTTTTCAAACCCTGATGGTAGGTTTTCATGTTGATTGAAAGGCCTCTTGTAACTACCTCATTGTGGATGTTTATCCCTTCTTGGTTTCAGGCACAAGATAGTGTGGAGAGGTGAAAAGATGAAATACCAAATAACATTATTACCCTTGGAAGCAATCAGGCAGCCATACCAACAGAGAAAGAAGAGAAAATAAAAGAGGGACTGCCCTAAATAGAGTTAAAGTATTTTAGAGTGTTATCATGTGCTATTAAAAATGCATCATGTATATATAGGTGATATTTGCAAAGAGTACAAGTGGAAAGAGTGTCTACCATCATAAATTAAGATGTCTTTGTACAGTGTTTAAGGGTAATTTTTCATGAACTACAAACTGTTTTTGCTAACAACACTTTTTATATGTTTCACTCTGCTGTCACATTATTATTAATGACCAATGATGGTGGCATATGGCAAAACAAAAGTCTTGAAAAATTCTTCCTGTATTTACCATCCTCCTGCAAGACCCTATGAATCATTCTGCCTGTAAAAACCTTGTGTCAAAGCTTGACTTGCTGCACAGATCTCCTTTCTAATGGACTGTTAATTCTGTTTCAGTTGGGTTTTTTATTTGATCAAGGACACCATTTACAACTTGTTTAAAGTACTATGAGCCTCATCACAATTTTATTTCTCCAGTTACTCTTAGAGTTTAAGATCTGTAAAGAGCTATCAGAGTTGAATGAAAAAATACCAGAACATGTGCAGCTTGCAACATTGTATTTAGTTGTCCTTTTTCTTTTTTTTTCACTGTGAATAGATCTACACAAAACAAGAAAAAAAACTGCTGTTTCACTTAGCTGTATAGTTTATTGAAAACCTATTTTTTTCTTAAAAATAAAACATACAGTATAAATAAGAAACTTGTCTATTTTCCTGTTGAGCTCACCTTGCTAAGGTTACAGTGGTTTTGTTGTGACTGCTAACCTCAAAGAAAATAAAAATCTTTAAGGAAATTTTTTACTGTACATTTTCAAGAACAATAGCTATACCCTGGCCCCCTCCTATACAGGCTGAGCCTACAGCATATTTAGCTCCCCTCCGTCGCAGTTCATGTACCAAGTGCCCAGTAATTCTTGCCCCTGAGGTTCCAACAGGATGACCAAGAGCAATGGCTCCTCCATTAACATTTGTCTTGTCTATATCCAGCTCAAGCTCCTTTTGAACAGCAATGAATTGTGGAGCAAATGCTTCATTTACCTGCACAAACAAAAGGAAAGATAACGTTTTAAGACTAGGGGTCAGTTCCTGATTGAGCATTCATGAGCAGAATGAGCCGCTAAACATTTTTGGCCTTTATGACAGTTATTGTTTTTGTCTTTGTTTTTTGTAGTTTCTCTCTTATTAGAATATATTGCAACCAAAAATCTGAGAATTAATCTGTTATGATAATGATAATAATAATCAATAATAGCAATGTCATTATCATTGTTATTTGCGAAAAACATTGGACACAGTATTGTCCACCTGAAAATTACTTAATACAACATGACTCAGTAATGTTACCTCAATAAGCTGCATATCTTGCAGGCTCTTGCCAGCTTTATTGAGAGCTGCCTTTACCGCAGGAACAGGACCAATTCCCATGATTGATGGTTCCACACCGGCAACAGAGTATGAAGCAATTCTCACAAGTGGAGTGAAGTTGTGCTCTTTGAGGGCTTTCTCACTAACAACAATCAATGCCGCTGCGCCATCACATATTCCCTGTCAGAAAAAAAATTAATGATCGACAGGTCCTTGAACACCGGACTGAGCGATGACAGGGAGTTAAGGCAACCATGATGGAACTGGTCTGATTCCACTTATGACTTACGAGCTCGTGAACACCAGGCTGTCACAGTCGAGAGTGGACGCAAAAGAACTAAACTAAATAATCACAAAGCAAAGGTAACAAGCATCATTGCAACTATATGCTTTTGCCTGTGACAGTCTGGTTTTCACTCAATCATAAGCGATGGAGTCATGAGCAAAGTCACAAGAAAAAAGAAACATTCTGATTCTTTTGACTCGCATTCCTTTGTGCTTATGACTCTTCTTACATGTCGGACTGCTTACTACCCTGACCCTGACTCTGTTGCAAGTGAAAACTAGCCTTAACACTAACGAAAGGCAAGCAAATAATCCTTATTTCGAGGAACGTTTTCATGACATATCCACGACTCTGTTTATTCTAAATCAAATATTATTTTCTGCTTTTCAATAAACAACATCTTACAGAAGCATTAGCAGCAGTAATTGTTCCATCTTTCTTAAACACTGGCGGTAACTTGGCCAGACTCTCCATGGTACTGTTTGGTTTGGGATGCTCATCAACCTTAAATTCCTCTGGTCCTTTTCTGCCTTTCACAGAAACTGGAACAATCTCTTCTAAAAATCTTCCATCCTCATTAGCTAGAAAAAGTGAAAAAATATACAGTCTAATTATCAAACCCCTTTAATTCCTGATAATGGCTTAAATTTATGGCCTCGTTTTTCTTGAAAACATCATAAAAATCCAAGAGAACACCCTATGTGCTAGATGAGTTGAGCCATGGTTTTAAAAAATTGTTGTTTCAGCACTCTTAATGACGACTGCTTTACAAAATAAATGTAGTTTCTATGAGACATTGCCCCGTTAGTTCCAAATACTTTGATTTAATTTTGTTACCTTCAGCCCATCTCTTTTGTGTCAGGAGTGCAAACTCATCACATTCTTGCCGTGTGATGTTGTACTTCTCAGCAAGGTTTTCTGCAGTCATGCCCATTGGAAGTTTAGCATAGTAATCTGTTAAACCTTGCCACAATGTGTCTTCCAACTACAGAAAAAAAAAACATTTACAAACTGATTGTACTGAGTACTGAGAGGCTAGACAGTCTGAGTTTTTGAATTTGTTAGTGGGTTTGCTTGACAGCAGTTAAGTGACCCAAGATTCACTTGATTCACTAGTCATGCCCTTCTTGAATCAAACATGACAGTATGCTTATATTTATTAAAATACTTTTCCTATATAAAACTGATCTGCATTAAGCCAATTAACACTTCTCTTTAGCAGGCACCAGCAAGGGTCACTTGAGTGCTAATGTGCTTAGGAATGGTTTTATTGGCATTTTGCATAATTGGGTGCAGATGGCCATTCATGAGGGATTTGACAGTAGACCTATGATATCCTCAAAACCCTGTTCACTGGATGACAATTCACTATCAAGCTATTGTTAAATTTATTCTGTTGTAGAATGGATAACTTATTCTTGATCAGTGTCTCAGAATAAAACCACCAAACACTGATCACCACATATCAATTATTCCATATTCTGGGGATGAAGCCCCAGAACTTCATGGCTGCAGGGGAAGCCTCACCTTTAAATCAAGTCCCAGTTTTGTTCCAAATCGTGCATCCCTCAAAGCATAAGGTGCCTGACTCATGTTCTCTGACCCCCCACATAAAACAATGTCACTCTCCCCTAGCTGAATCTCCTGCGCTGCTGTGATAATGGCCTGAAATCCTGAGCCACACAATCTGTTCAGTGTTAGTGCTGGGGTTGTGACTGGGACATTGGCTTTAAGAGCAATATGACGTGCAAGGTATGCTGCATCAGAGGCACTCTATAAAAAGATCATGTATAAAAAATTGGTTATGATGGATTAATTGAACTGAGTGGGGTGCAATTTGGTCTAAACTCATACACGTGATTTTAACATTGGACGGGTACGCAGCACAAATTCAATTTGAAATCACAAGTATGATTTCAGACCAAAATTGCACGACACAAAGTTAAATTATCACTTTATTACAGTCATTTTGAAATCAAAGAATTCATTCAGTTCTAATATTATTTTACTTGACCAAGTAGCTGGTTTGTTGAAAAGTGGAAACAAAAAGGCTTTTACATCTCATTTTGTACTTGTAACAGGAATGATGCAAATACTGGCGAAAATGAACAGAATGACATGATTTAGAACGGATGTGATTTAGAGCAAAAATAGTGTGATTTGCAAACAAATTAAACTACTGAGAGCCAATCAGATTGTCAGATTGCAGAGATTACCAGTGGTTTCAAAATGGATAAAACAAAAATATACATCCTTTTGTTGTGAAAATTTATTTAACAAATATTATTGTTTAACAGTTCTTGCCAATCACGTATGTGGGGGGGGGGGGCTAAAATCATACAAAAACATGTTTACAATAATTTACAACACTACATCAAAATTTACCAAATTTTTGTTTTAGTTACGATTAAATGGCAACAGAACTATATGTTTTCCAAATTCAGTATGTAATCATAGTAGTGATTAAACAGACTCTCCTGCATATTAAATCATTTGTGATTTATTATACAGACCGAACTGAACTCCACTCTTTCTGCACAGAATCGCCTGGGCATCTGGCAATTGCACCTCTTTGTATCACGACTAGAAATTCATCAAAAATTGGTAAGATTTCTGTATAACCCCATACACTTATTATGCATAAATGCATGTTTCGACGGATCTATTCATATTTTGTTATGCATGCAGCAATTTCATAGTAAAACTATTTGTGAGAAAAAGTATGAAATTGCTGCATGCAAAATAAATGTATGGGGTTATACGGAAATCTGACTCAAAATCAACCATTAGCTACCTTACTGAGGTTTACAGAGCAGCGTTGATCAAAACCTGACTGTTTCTTTCTTTGGTTCAGAGTACAAAGTCCAAATGCACTGTCATCGTATCGCGTGTAAAAATCGCGGTACAAAAATCATGTGAACAAACTTTAGCCGTGATGCACCTGCTAAAGACGTCTCAAAACCAAAGGAAAAAAACTAGCAGCCAAAAAAAATACGTTTTTCAGTGCACAAATGCATAAAAAGGCCAACCTGAATGACGTTGCCAAATACAGAGGAGTCTACTATCGCCGGATCAACTTTGCCGGCGGCCATTGCAGCTTCAGCTGCATGTTGTCCGAGAACAGTAGCAGTTACGCCTTTCAACTTCCCTCCAAAAGCACCAAATGCCGTTCTTTTCGCCGCTATAATATACACTGGACGTGCAAGACCAGCCATTTTTGTTGAGTATAACTATCGCGTGGCTGAGGGTTTTTTTTGCTGTCCTTCACGCAATGTAGCCGAGCCTTGTTCCATTTGGAGGTGTGAAGAGGGTGGGGAGGGGGTGTAATCTGGGCCCAGTTGTCCGAAGGCCGATTAGCGTAACCCCGGGTTAAATTTCACCCGGGTCTCCCTTCTTGTGTTCAAAAGTATTTTCTCGGATAATTTTCTCTGTTATATTTAGAGCTTTCAATAATCAACTTGTAGACAAACAGAATTAAAACTGAAATTCTTTTTAAGCTTTCAAATCTGAATTCCAATCTCACACTAACCCCAAGGTATCTTAACTCAGCTTTGAACAACTCGGCCCTGGGCTTTTGTGCATTACGCTCTTGTTTCCCCTCCAAAATGCCCCATCAAATGCTTCATTTTTCAACTAAAATGCTCGATCGCCCCCCCAGAGAGATCACAACAAGATTTAGTGGCATTTCCATGACTAGATGGCATTGCCGATTGCAATATTGATTCTACATCTACATAATTTATTTGCGAAATCCTATAAGGACATCTTGCAAATTCCAGTGCAAAGTGCAAGAATAAAAATGAATAAATAAATATGTGCAAATAAGGTAATAAATAATTGTGGTATAGTAATGATGAAATGAATAACAATCAGTTAATAATTAAGTTGATAAAACTAAAACTTAAGCAGAGATATAATAACTATTTCTCCGGATAATGCTCATCATATACGGGATTTTTTTTTATTAATTCTAAACATTTTAAGAGGGTTTTGTTTTAAGGCTGACAAAAATGTTTAGGTGCTATGACAACAATGTTTTAAATTTAAAAGTCTTTTAAAATACAAATAAAAAATGATTCTTTGTATGGCTGCAATAAGGTGAAATTTGAGTATTTTTTTTAATTTTGAGTTTAAATCATCATTTTTCTCTTAACATTTTCAATTTTTATTTTTTGTGAGAAAGAAAAAATAATTTCCTGCAAAAATGCCTTTAAAATGTTCGAATAATGCCTAATGCTTTTGCCTGACTAATGCTTTAAAAAATTCTAGCATAATGTACGAAAGCCTACAAGACCTTGCCTAGTCCCTACGCCTCACAAATGCACACGGCCAATGCCTTATGCGTCACGTAGTCTGAGCTACACAAAGGTTTGTTGGACAATCATTTGTCGGTTGATAGACTTGTGTAATTTTTATTTGAAGAATTTTTATTGTTTATTTTGAGAAATCAATTCTTGAAACAGACTCATTTATAGCAGACCTAATACTTTAGGTTGATTCTTAATTTCCTTTGTCTCTGAGCCCTAATTTATGAAAAATTAGGGCAAAAAGACAAAGGAAATTGAGAATCAACCTAGGTTAAAAATTTTAACCTATTATTCAATTTTCAACTGTAACACACATTTCAAAGCAGAACATTACTGTTACACCTGCATAAACAGGTCCTACTCTTTATGCAACCTCTTTGGACCATTAGTGAAAGAAAGGGTATCCTCACCCTGAAAATTCTTTCAAAAATATGGACCTGCAGGCAAGTGTAAAAGAAAACGACATATTTTCATTTCCACCATGTTAGAAAGAGAGATGTATTCTGAGCTATTTTGTAGCAACTTTGTGTTTAACATACTAAAGCAGTGGATGACACTCAACATCTAAAACAATATGATCAATATGTGGAGCATATGACTTAATGTGTTCAATATGACATATCTGAACATTCCAGTTGATCTTAGGGTCATGTAGTTTCTTTAAATGTCCTAAAAGACTTTGAACCACATAGCCAGCCCAGTCAAGCCATTCAGGCTTGATTTTTTTGTTACAAGATGGTAAATGGCTTGTTGTATCATGCAGTGAATGACGACAAAAGCTTGACATTTTGGATGGTGGAGACAATGAATCTTCAAATTCTTGTGCATTTTTGGCATTGGCACCATTCAAACACCTATCTTCATTATTTGCTGTACTTTTCGAAGTAGACATTGTTCTATCATAAATCACAGCTACGCTGTCCATGGAAGATGGATGGCTATTCAACCTAGACTCCTTTTCTTTTTTGCTTGAAAAGGTGTTGAGTTCAAGGTTTGTTAACCCTGAAGTAACATTTCCATGAACATGGAGCCAGCCTCCACTGTCGGATCGCAATGCAGCACATGCCACAGGCCAACCAGCCTCACTTGTAGGAATGAGTCCAAGATTGACATGATCTGCAACCCCCTGAAGTGGAAACTGTAAACGGAGAAGAAAAATGTTCAAGGTAGTCGATCGTCAAAACCATTATGTAGGAAAAAAGACAAAGAGAATTGTAAATGGGAACACGTCACTGCATTAATAAAGTTGATCCTCTCTCTACACTGGCCACCTTGAGGACAGAAGGAAGGGTTGATTATAAAGAGGTGACAATATTGTAGAGAGAGTTAATTTTATTTGTCTGCTGGGGTAAAAACAGTGGCTGCTGTAGAGAAGTGGCTGTTGTGGAGGGGTGGCCATTAAGGGAGGTTTGGCTTTAGTTTGATTCTTCTTTCAAGAGCTTATAAACTTCTGGTTGGCACATTGATAATAGCAGGTGGTGATGTAACATGACCTAGATCTACTAAAACATGTGACTTAAAAAAATCCCACACCTTTCTTTACCTTTTGATTGTCTCCTTCATATATGACACACTGTTCATCCACATTGTTTATCTTCAAGTTTGTCCTCAAAGCTTCAATGGCATTTTCATTCCATTCACAAGCATAAACCATTGCTGCTTTAGCATGAACAAGATATGGCAAAACAAAGTAACCTATTCCTGCATAAAGATCAACAATAGTTTGACCTTTGCAATCAAAGTTTCCAACCCTGATCTTTTCTGTTATATTTCCTGCAGAGAACATACACTTTGTAACATCAAAAGTGTATTTGATGCCATTTTCAATGTGCATCACCCAGCCACTATGTCCAAGAAGCAAACTCACTTGCGGCGTGCGAAATCCATCTCTACATATTGTTGATTTCTTGGCAATTCTTTTAGCACCTAGCATTTCGGCTACAACTTGCCATAATTCAGCACCAAAATCTTCCCATCTATCCTGGGTAAAAGATTTCTCTGGTAAAAGAATTAGATCCCCATGTTGTTCCCAGTGAGAAGGAAGGTCTTTATACATTATTTCATCAAGGTTTGTATCTTTAGTTTGCAAAAATTTAACAATGGCCAACTCAAGTTTATCTTGAGGAGAAAATTTGCGTTTTATTGCATTTTCATCATTGATGTACTGAATTTTCCCTTTCAGAGAAAACAAAAAGCTTTTAACTCCTTCCATCTGCTCCTGTTGGATTTCTTCGGCAAGTTCCCTTTTTATTGGAATCATTACTTCTTCCTGTGAAAGCTTTGAAACTTTTCTTTCCTTATCATGATAACCTTTTCTCTCAATGTATTCTCTAGAAAGAAGAAGACAGTTATATTTCAGTTTTTTAAGGGCCATTCCATACAATCCCCGTTGACAAAATTTTCTAAACAAGTAAACACAAAAATGGAATTTCTAAAGGTTGTAGGACTGAAGACCAGATTTTCTGAGGGGAAGTACTTAGCAAAAAAGCAAAACTTTCTGAGGGTTGCAAGATCAAAGGTCAAGGCCAGATTTTCTGAGGGTAAGAAGCAGAAAAACAAAAATTTCTTAAGGTTATTAGACTCGTAGGGGGAATTTTCTGAGGGTTTTGGGGAAAAAAGAGTATTTTTCTGAGATTTCTGGATTTCCGTCATACTTTCACTGTAATTTTACCCTCGGTAACTGGAACCCTCGATAACCCGAACTCCCGCTAACTCGAACCAATTTTCGTCTCCCCTCAGGTCATTTTCTATATAATGTTACCCTCGATAACTCGAACCATGTTTTGAGCCCTTAAAAAGTCGGGAAAAAAGCCGTCTACTGGTGTCCGAAACATTGAATTTTGGATTTTCTATTAACGTGTTGTAGGAGTATAGTTTACCAATGGAGGCTGATGTTGATTGTTACAGGCTAACGTAAAGCAGCTTTACTTCTCAAAACAGTAAAACACATGCTCTATTTAGGCTATGTTTTGTTACGTTACGTTCGTATGTGTAATCAAATGGTGACGAGTGAAATTAGGGATAGTTCATGTGCGTTTTGTCAAAATCCTTATAATTTCCCGAGCCTTTAGGCGAGGGAAATTATTAGGATTTGGACAGAACGCAAGTGAAATTATTCCTTAATTTCATGAGTATACCATTTGATTACCTATTAATATCATGGGTGACGAATTACGTTAGCAATCGAGGATTTTTGACTTGTTTATCCTGGATCGTATCGATCGATCGTGAACTCCACTCTCTCAAACGTTTAGAACTAAAATTTGGCTTAAGTTTTCAAAATTTTTCTACAACACACCTCTAAGAATCCTTCTTGATGTGTTCTTTCGTGTGTTCAGGTTTTCTAAAGCGTCTTTTTATGCCCCGACATCTTCATTCATGACATTTCAAAACTTCCTTGCCATCTTGAAACGGAGACGTATGGCAGGTTGCCATGGCAATTTGGTAATTTCACATGTGAAATTACAAATTAACGCTGAAATTTCGCGCCAAAATTAAGGAGTAATTCGTCACCTATGATATTATGATTTATAATCTAGAAGTACCTTTTAATTTTCACTTGATATTTCTACAATTAAATGTGATTAAAGTGTTCACTGTGCAGTAAAAACTGTTTTTTACCTTACTCTAGGCTTTTTTCTTCGAGCTCCCGATAACCCGAACGTTTTTCGATTTCCCTTGAAGGTTCGAGTTATCGGGAGTCGACTGTATATTGAATGGCAATGGCTATAAATTGAGCTTACACTAGTCCGCTCAAAGCAAATGTTATTACAAAAAAAAAACACAAAAAAAACAAGGTTTATTACTTACTTCGCTGTTTTGGCGTTTCTTTTAGACGTGACAAATACCCACGCCATTCTGGATTCACGGTGTCCTGCAGAAAAGGCAGCCTTTAGAGCTTATATGAGACAAAAATCACACCCGCCATTAACTCCATAATTGGGAGACAAATTGTTTCCACTTACATGAACTAATAGGACAGATCACGTACGTTTACACCAAGTACTATACTTTGTGTAAGTTCCAGTCTGTCTCATTCATTTTTTGAAATGGCGGAGTCGACTGTGCTGCTTGTTGGGTTAATTCTTGGTGTTTTCGTAGCCGCGTTTTTCGCGATTGTGTTCCTTGTTTACAAACTTAGGATCTTACACAAGTATATTTACAAGGTAAGAATGTTTCAAGTCAATTTTGTCTGGAAATTTTTGATATATAGAACCTCAATTTAGCCTATCTCAGACGTGTCACGATCACATGACATTTGAAAAAAATTTTGCAGTATCGAATAACTTAGGACCTTTTTTAGAGAGGGTAACTCTTGTGGGTAGTTTCGAAAACGAAGCACTCGAAAACGAAGACCGAAGCACGAAGCAACCAAAACTCGAAAACGAAGCACCCAAATCTCGAAAACGAAGCACCCTAAACTCGAAAACGAAGCACCCAAATCTCGAAAACGAAGCACCCAAAAACTCGAAAACGAAGACCCCTAGATCGAAAAGGAAGCACCCAAATCTCGAAAAGGAAGCACCCAAAACTCGAAAAGGAAGCACCCAAAAACTCGAAACCGGTCTTTCCTTTATAAACACGAGACTAATCAGGTGTGAGAAAACCGCAAACACTAACGGAAATTGATTTTCCTTTTGTTGTAGTTGAAATTTTGTATGAATTTTAATGCGTTGCTCACACGTTGTTGTAGTTGAAAAATATTATCGTTTGTTACATGCCATTTGTAATGCTTTTTATCTACTTCAACCGGCTGCACTGCCTCACTGAATAATAAAAAACGTAGCACTAATGAGGACAAGTTTTAAGAGTGAGATTTGTTGTTTAACACTTTCACCACTGATCAGGTTGCCTTTTTCACACCTCTGCAATTTTTTAAATTATTGCGCAAGTTAGCTCAGTCTCGCTGAGTCTCGTGTCAGGATGCGCTGAGTAGAGCTTTGATTACGGAGTTTAAAGTGCCTCTTGTCAAACCAAGAACAACTGTTGATTGCTCTGGACTACCGGTTTACGACTTTTCAAAATTGTTTAACAAAGAGGAGGTAGGAAAAGGTGTGTATGGAGCAGTTTTCACAGCTGACTACCCTTTCAATGGTATCAACGACAAGGGTCAAGAGTTTCGAGTTTTGGGTGCTTCGTTTTCGAGATTTAGGGGTCTTTGTTTTCGAGTTTTGGGTGCTTCGTTTTCGAGATTTAGGGGTCTTCGTTTTCGAGTTTTGGGTGCTTCGTTTTCGATTTAGGGTGCTTCGTTTTCGAGATTTAGGGTCTTCGTTTTCGAGTTTTGGGTGCTTTTCCTCGCCATCTTGAAACGGAGACGTACGGCAGGTTGCCATGGCAATTTGGTAATTTCACATGTGAAATTACAAATTAACGCTGAAATTTCGCGCCAAAATTAAGGAGTAATTCGTCACCTATGATATTATGATTTATAATCTAGAAGTACCTTTTAATTTTCACTTGATATTTCTACAATTAAATGTGATTAAAGTGTTCACTGTGCAGTAAAAACTGTTTTTTACCTTACTCTAGGCTTTTTTCTTCGAGCTCCCGATAACCCGAACGTTTTTCGATTTCCCTTGAAGGTTCGAGTTATCGGGAGTCGACTGTATATTGAATGGCAATGGCTATAGATTGAGCTTACACTAATCCGCTCAAAGCAAATGTTATTACAAAAAAAAAAACACAAAAAAACAGGGTTTATTACTTACTTCGCTGTTTTGGCGTTTCTTTTAGACGTGACAAATACCCACGCCATTCTGGATTCACGGTGTCCTGCAGAAAAGGCAGCCTTTAGAGCTTATATGAGACAAAAATCACACCCGCCATTAACTCCATAATTGGGAGACAAATTGTTTCCACTTACATGAACTAATAGGACAGATCACGTACGTTTACACCAAGTACTATACTTTGTGTAAGTTCCAGTCTGTCTCATTCATTTTGAAATGGCGGAGTCGACTGTGCTGCTTGTTGGGTTAATTCTTGGTGTTTTCGTAGCCGCGTTTTTCGCGATTGCGTTCCTTGTTTACAAACTTAGGATCTTACACAAGTATATTTACAAGGTAAGAATGTTTCAAGTCAATTTTATCTGGAAGATTTTTGATATATAGAACCTAAATTTAGCCTATCTCAGACGTGTCACGATCACATGACATTTGAGTAAAATTTTGCAGTATCGAATAACTTAGGACCTTTTTTAGAGAGGGTAACTCTTGTGGGTAGTTTCGAAAACGAAGCACTCGAAAACGAAGACCGAAGCACGAAGCACCCAAAACTCGAAAACGAAGCACCCAAACCGCGAAAACGAAGCACCCTAAACTCGAAAACGAAGCACCCAAAAACTCGAAAACGAAGACCCCTAGATCGAAAACGAAGCACCCAAATCTCGAAAAGGAAGCATCCAAAACTCGAAAAGGAAGCACCCAAAAACTCGAAACCGGTCTTTCCCTTATAAACACGAGACTAATCAGGTGTGAGAAAACCGCAAACACTAACGGAAATTGATTTTCCTTTTGTTGTAGTTGAAATTTTGTATGAATTTTAATGCACGTTGTTGTAGTTGAAAAATATTATCGTTTGTTACATGCCATTTGTAATGCTTTTTATCTATTTCAACCGGCTGCACCGCCTCACTGAATAATAAAAAACATAGCACTAATGAGGACAAGTTTTAAGAGTGAGATTTGTTGTTTAACACTTTCACCACTGATCACGTTGCCTTTTTCACACCTCTGCAATTTTTTAAATTATTGCGCAAGTTAGCTCAGTCTCGCTGAGTCTCGTGTCAGGATGCGCTGAGTAGAGCTTTGATTA